CACGGATAGCAGCAGCGAGAAGTAGGGCTTCTTCCAGCCAGTTTTGCAGAGGCCAGAGGTTGTTTGGGGGGGGGGGGGGGGGGGGGAGAGAGAAAGACTTTAGCTTGATTGGCAGTTAGCATTTTGCATGGCAGGAGCGATGGTCGGTCTGCCCGACGGCTCAAATGGGACGCGGGGGAGAAGTGAAATTAAACGAGAAGGGCATGTGAACAGGCTAGAAAGGCTTGTTTTCTGGCTGAAGGGGAACTACTGGAGACGGTTTGTGCCTGTTGATCGAAGAAACGGGAGACCAAACGGGGAATAGCCTTCCAATCGCCTCGAAACAACTGGTAATGTCTGAGCATTGATAGGACCTGCTGCGAGTTGTACTCCGGAGGCGTTGCGGCGTCTATTCGAGGGAAGAGTTTTACGGCTTCGAGAGTAGGGGGAGGGGGGAGGGGAAGGGAAGCTGAGTTTCCGTGGCGGTGAGGAAAACGCTGAGTCTTTTCCGCGATCGGGGAACTGGCTTTAAGACTCTGGGGACTTCCCTCGGGCTGCTCAGCTGTCGCAAATATCTCCTTTCTTCTCCCCCTGGACTTGGCGTTGCTCTCGTGGGAGATCCGCTGCCATGTGGCTGTTCCTTCTCTCTACGGACGGTCCTAATAAAGAGTGGGAAAGGTTAATATAAGCCTGAAAAGCAAGCAGGGAGGAAGGGTCAAGCTCGTCAGTTTCCTTCCGTGTCAAGTTGTACGGCTAAAATCTCTCGAGCAGATTGCAGGAAACTTAAAAGCCCTTGGAAGTTACATTTCTTCCCGTTTAAAGTAGGATTCTCCCCTCCCCTCCCTCCCCCTTGGCACCGGCTGCGATTTGTTTAGTTCCGCCACTTTTGCTTCCCCCATTTTGGTTTGAGACTGTGACAGCCACGTGGCCGGCAAAGCCTTGCGCAGGGAGAGGCGGCCATGGGGTCACACGGGCGGCTGTGGGAGCGTGTGGCTGTGTGTAAGCAGCTCAACACAAAGCCAGGCACACAGAGTAGAGCTCCTCCTCCTCCAGGGGAGCTTAAGAACGGGAACACCCCCCCTTCATGCAATCTCTGCAATATTGCATGGACCCCTCCTTCCTCTGTGCCGCTTTTCTTTGCTTCCGGCTGCTAAAAAAATAATGCAAACTCTTTATTGATAAAACTGAATGGAAGGGCAGGAAACAAACTTGCACCCGTTTCGTTTTGATTGTGCAAAGGGGTAGAAAGAATAGCAATCTCCCCTTGAAAATTGTTAAGTGCCCAATTGCAAACATATTTGAAATATTTATAAAATACATCCTCAGTTTTAAACACACTTAAACCCCACCTCTGTACGTATGAAACAGAGAACTTAGTGAAACAATGGTCTACTATTGTTCTTTTCTAATAGCCCTGAACACGAATGGAGAAAACAATCTAAGCCATCTGAAGCCATTTCTACAAATTGGAGGTTGTTGCATTGTTATCTAGAAGATGAGAGTACTTTTCCCTCTTCCTCAAAGATTTTATTTTGCAGATAAATGGCATGTATCTACTCTTTTGAAATACATGTTATGTTAAAGTACAATATTCCTTTTAATTTATTAGCACAATTTATGTGCTGTTCAACCAAAATAAGGTTCTAAGCAGTTTACCATTTATTTAGTTGTGTTTATTTTTTATTGTATCTGTGATGAAAAAATTGCAGCAATTTTTTATTTAGAATTAGAAAATGCAGTTGAGAATACTTGACATATTTTTTATGTGCCGCCTCATAGCCATTAATTACCATATTAAGCCATTAATTTTCATATCTGATGTACTGAAATACAGTAATCTCAAAAAGCAATTGCGCCCGAGAATTTTGGTGTTATATTTGCTCAGGTGCAAAGGGCACCAAATGGGGAGAAGGCTGAACTAGTCTACACCCTAAATAACACAGCATTAATTTTCTTTACTGAGTAGTGAGAAGCTGGGAATATGACTTCCCAGTATTGAAATATGGAATGTACTTCTAAAGCAGTGTAGTTCATGCCACTATTTAGGAAGATGGGAAAAACCTTGTTCACTAAATTTTTAACAACTGTTCATAATGATAGGTTTTAATTTTGGCTTTAACTGCATTTTGTTATGATGTTCACTATTATTATTGAAAGCCATCTTGAACTTTGGAATAAGCAACATTTCAGCTACTAAATATAAGTACTCACTTTTGTAAGAATTTGGTTACTTACTAAGCTTCTCAACTTCCAGTTGGAAAAAAGGTTGTATAATTCATAAATTCTTTCATTACAGATTATTAGATGATGTTCTTTTCAGCTGGCTTGCATTATGTCACTTATGAATGAGGGTTTCTCTATAACGTTTATCATGTTCTCTAACAGCAACTATAACAGTGGTTGTTTCCATCCCATTGTACTATCTGACTGCCATGGTTGTAATAATAAATAATGAATATTAATGGCAATCTTTAAAGGAAGAGTTGTCATTTGCTGCAAACTGAGTTTATATCTAAATGATGGCATGTGTGCAATGACTCTATAGGGCATACTCCACCTTATATACCTGTATCCTGATTTCTAATGTCATTTGTGTCATGGCTGCATGTTTTATCATTCATTCCCCCCCCCTCCCCCGTGGTTTGATGTTGGTAAACTACAATTCTCCAATCATAGTTGACAGGCCCTGTTTGAATCTTAGTGCTTTACCAGTGCTAATATGGAAAAAGTTCCTTGAAGATAAAAAGTTTTAAAATCACATGGGCAAATGACTTAAGTAACAGTAATTGTGTAGATAATATCCAAAAAGCTTTTTGCACAGTGCTGTATGCATCCACTCAAGTGTGTTCCATTGAATTCAGAAAAGCAATTAAGTATGCATAGGACTGCACATCCAAACTGTTTTGAATCATAAAAATGTATAATTTTCAAAGGGAACAAAAATCCCTGTTGTAACTAGGGAAATGAACAATTGTGTAGCACAGGCAATGGGTTTTTAATAAGTACTAGAATTTGGAGCATGGGAATGCCAGGAGAGCAATCATGACCTTGTATTGGAGTTTTTCTTACCTTTATACATTACATTGTCCAATATTTCAACTCCATCTAGACACAAAAGTAATTTGGCAGGCAATTTCCTCACATTGTCTTGATATGTTTGATGTGTATGAGCCTGTAAGTCTGAACTACTTACGTTACTGTTTCTAGTATCTTGACAAGATCTTTTGCATTTTCACAATCAACTTGATCTTTCCCTAAAAGGGAGATATTTTATTAGGCAAAATAATATTGTTTTTCTTCTAAGCCTCATGAAGAAAATCTGAATAAAATTATATAATAGCAGAGCTGTACATAGTTGGGCAAAAAATATTTAAGTTTCACAGAGCCAATACAATTTTCTAATAGCCTAGTATCTATTCTGCTTGCTCATTGTGGAATATAGGCAGAACTATTTTTCATTCCATGTTGAAACTGAGGGAATCAAGCATCTGGTTGGCTGTAATACAGCCAACAGTTGTAAACCAGTCTTAACTTATCCTATGTTATGTTATATCTTGAATCCAAGTCCATACCTGCTACATAAAGTTAATTACCCTGTGTAATTGTTCCTTTTTTGATCTGAAACAAAATATGGTATGGTCCACCCTCAGAGCTATTTGGCTTTGCTTGTAGGGCCTCAAAGAGTTGCAGTGATTTGCTGTATAGCAGGGATGTCAAACTTAATTTCATTGAGGGCCACATCAGGGTTGTGTTTGATCTCAGGGGCCGGGCTTAGCGTCCACATCAGGGTTGTGTTTGATCTCAGGGGCCGGGCTTGGCGTGCTCAGTGTGGGCATGGCCAGTTCTATGTCACTCGTGTCAGGGGTGCCTGTGGTCACCCGAGCACTCTGCCAGCGAAACCGGGCTTTTGAGCTCTATTTGCGGCAGTGGCGGCCTCCTGCAACCCTCTGCCAGCGAAACCAGAGCTTGGGAGGGTCTCGCACGTGTCCCTCCCAAGCTCCACTTTTTCTGGCAGAGGCACCGTGGCCTGGTCCTTTGCTATTTCCAGAGCGGCCCTGTGGGCCAGATCTAACCCCTCCGCAGGCCAGATCTGGCCCATGGGACTTGAATTTGACACCCCTGCTTTATAGCAAATTAAATGGACATAAGGTTTTTGGAATTGTTCTTATCTAGTTGGATAAGAGATTGGAAATGGGGAAAAGTCGCTCACGGTCACTATTTTTGTTTCCCTCTTTGCATTTTAGGACTATTAGAGTATAGTTGCATACTACAGAGTTCACTGTTTGTTAGGTTTGATATTATACAGGGAGCTCTCATGGAAGTAGAAGTCATCAGACATTTCCCTGGATTATAAAGACTGGGGAGATTGTTTTCCTC